ATATATTTTTACTCAAAACAAATGTTCAACTACTATTGTATCAATGTAATTAGCACTTAATATGGCCGACATTAGAACCCAAAACGAAATATATGTACGACTAACTCCTATCCACATTTTACCCCATTCATCGAAGTCTTAATTATGTAGAGGATAAATACTGCGGATTATAAATTGATAAAACACACACCATAAAACTTTGTGAAACTGCGGTCATCTCGTTAAAACCTTGTGCCGCTCCGAAGTCTCACGGAAGTTGACTTCGACCAACCTTCAGCGAATAAGCAGGTGCCGAACCGGCGATGCCGAAGGCGATGTTTTCAGTTTCAACTTTCTCATGCGTCGCTATTTTTCCATCAACTCCTGTCTTATCAATATGCCTTTTCAAGTCGTAAGGGGCGAAATATATTTTTACTCAGAACAAATGTTCAACTACTAATGTATCAATGTAATTAGCACTTTATATGGCCGACACAGGCACACGAAAAGAAATTTATTTTTGCAAAACTTCGATCCACATTTTACCCCATTCAACGAGGTGTTAATGATATAGAGGATAAATACACAGAGGATTATAATTTAATATAACACCGACCATAAAACGTTGTGAAACTGCAATCATAATCAGGGTATAAAATACCCGAAAAGCGCAAGCGAGAGCTCAAGCACTGGCCAAGAAAAGCGACAAGAGTAACTCAAAAGTGAACTAAATCACAGAGGGAACTACAGGGAAAATGAATCACTCAAGTTTCACTGCTCCAAGCTCAGCGTTAGTTACTCCCAGTACAGCCATCGCAGACCAGACACTGTTATTGATCGCCATTGTCATAGGATTTGCAGGAAACGCAAAAGTTTGTTATTTTTTCGTTAAGCGTCAAGATCTACGGAAGGTTCCTCACTTTTTATTTGCTAGTTTAGCAGTTAATGGAATCATTTCATCCTTGTTCAATCTACCCTTTCGCTTAGCACTGATTACTTTAATTAAACTAGGCAGGATAGATTATGCTAAAATCGCCTGTAATATCGCGGTATCGAGTAGCTTTCTTTGCTCTGTTGTTAATTCTGCGACTTTATCGCTAATGGCAATTGATCGACAAGATTGTGTTTTGCGTCCGTTTAACCGACGCATGACGCCAAGTAATGTGAAGTTCGTTATAGCTGGAAAATGGATAGGAGCGCTAGTTTTAACATCAGTTTTAATTTTTAGCGTGTTCTTTAACCACTCAATATGTGTTAAATTGAGCCCTGAAACTCTTTTCTTTAAGATGTCAGAGCTGAAGGACGACCCAATTTTTATGTATTATATTATGGGCGTAGCTTTTAATGTGGTTACCTTAATTATTTTTATTGTAACCGCTATTCGCGTTATAAAAACGATTCGCTCGTCCACTTTGCCTGATGCAGCGAGTCTTCACAGGCGCCAAGAAAACAAACTGACTTGGCTAACCTACAAGGTCAGTGGTCTATGTCTCGTGTGTTGGGTGCCACTGTGTGTTTTTTTAGCAGCTTCAGGCGTCCGTGGGGACGCAATAGTCAACGCATTGGTTATAACATCAACCGTTGGGTACTACAACTATGTTTTGAACCCTCTAGTGTATCGTGGAATAATGAAAACCAAACCGAATAATGTTCAGCACTAGGCAAGCCAAAAGACGTGCAGTTTTAACATAATTGGGTGTTTCTGGACTTTCTTCCTGTAAAACAGTTGCAAATCAAGAAAGAGAGACGAGACGGGAAAAATGTTCAGTGATTCAACACGAAGCTGGTTAATTTGAACATTCGAATTAATGAAGGGCCCTATAAGTTTGTGCGGCAAGTAACTCTGCAGACTCTTTGGACTCCGGTTTGTTCAGATTGATGACAGATCATCGGGGTTAGCTTCTGTGGGTTTCGGTGTAGCACAAGTCTCCATTCTTGGTTCATTCCTTTTTAACTTATAGGTAGTTGATCTCCAAGACGAATTAAATTGTGCTTGTTATCAATATGTCTGGGTAAATATGCGCATGACGTACACCGCCTTTCATCTACCGATTTAGAACACTGTACCGCAAAGCGCCATTTCTAGTCTTTATGATTACTCTGAAAGCTCCAATCCCTCTCTGAATCACTTGAAAACTAAGTGGAATGATATTTCTGCACCACAAATGGCACGTACTCGTAAGTTAGAACAGTCAATGCGAGTCAAATGTGGGGATACCTTGATTAGTGAGGGTTCCAAATGCTAAGCTATTAGGTGTTCATGGTCAACTGGACCAGAATCTCACGTGGAATGAACACGTCAGGTCACTTTTTTCATCTTGCTATGGAACTTTATCGAAACTTATGCAGCCTTTCCCTTGAGGAAAAGCATTTGGAAAAACTGATACTTGCAAAAACTGACTGCGCCTGCACAGTCTTTCATCCGTTGCCCCTATACCAGCAAATACGCCTTCAGTGACTTCAAAACTGGAGCGCAGGCTTCGTCTTGAGGAAGATTGAACTGGTAAACAATCAAGGAAAGGAGAGACTACTGAAAGTTACTCATAAGGTTCTGAATGATACTAGTTTTCCTCAATTTTTATCGCGCCTACAACCTCAGACCATGATCAGCTGCACCAGTTTTTTCTGTCTCTAAAGAGTCAGGAACTTTGATTTTAAGCTCTCAGCAGCTACTAAAATAAGTTACCAGCAGCAATTAGAAATTCACAGCAATACAACGAATTCTGTCGCAGTGTCAAGAAACATGTAATGCAGCATTAGGTTTAGTTTCTCACAATTAATCATCAATTTGTCATTTATCTTTTACCTCTTCTCATATTGTGGGTTATAGGAATAATTTTTCTCAGAAAACAACGAAAAACAATTTAGATAAAATCTAAAATCATGAATAAATTGATGAAAGTTAGTGCATCATGTGGATGTCACTTTTCTTTATTTTTTTTTTAGCTTTACTTCCGTATAACTAACGGATCCGCTCAAGGCAAACAACCAAGCACTAGCTCTTAAAAACATCTGACGATTCTGTTCAGTAGCATTGCACTTCTAGTTTTTCTTGTGAACTGAATTAATTAAATATAATGAAACGCACCAGTTGATTAATAAACATTATCATTCGATGCAAATTTTTCTTCCTTTTCATCGGCCGAGAGCCTTCCACGTGACCTGCAAATAATTGCTACTAATAATGGTCTGCTCACGCGCAATGTCGTGAATGCAATGTCGTCATGCGAAAATGAAACAGCCACGATTTTCTCCTTCTTGCTATTGGTCTTGTGTGAAAATGGCAAAATGGCAGATATTCATTAAAAGACAAATTCGGCGACCGAATAATAACACAATTATTGAACTCAGTTATCGCAAAAAATCGTCATTTGTCAGTGTCTCCTCAGGCCACTGAAGGCATGGCTATCAAATTAAATATGCATATTTTGATAAAATGCTATTTACAACGGTTTGCTTCTATCAATGATCCTGAAAATTGAACTACAAATGTAGCTTAATGGCCTTAGCAATATGAGTGCATTTTAGAAGCTCAAATTTTCGTCACGTGACTGATAATTGAGAATTAGTATAGGTAATAGCATGATTTGTAGTGATACTTGGCATAAATACCACGAGTGATATTTTGAAATTGTTATACGCAATTTCACGAGCCGAGCACTGATGGAGGCAAACCGTTCTAAATAGCATTTACTAAAATATGCATATTTAATTAGGTAGTCATACCTTTTAAGGCACTTAAAAGTGGCCTGAGTCGCAGATCAGTTATTTGCCTCAGCTAATAATTGATCTTCTCGCCACTGACGAGTTACGATATTCTGTTCAACCTCGTCCAATAATTGTTAAATATTCGTTCGTCTACTTTGCTTAATCATGATGAAGAGAATGTTCACACGTGGCTAACTTACATTTAAGATCTGTGGCATCTGTGGTTTGTGCCACAATATATATATTATATTCCCACAAAACTCTCTCTCTTGATGCTCGCTGCTTTACATTAGTTTCAGTTTTAGGAGTTTGTCGAAAAAGTCATTGCAACTTGTGTTAAGATCATCCGTTAGCTTCTGCGATACCGTTATCGTGCGCATAATGATGGAGGGTGAAGCGGGGGGGGGGAGGGGGATGGCGAGCAGTAACCGATTGGCGCGGGGTACTTTTTTGGTGGAAGCTGTGAGGGAAAATTGACTTGCTCCGCTGCCAAAAAACAACAGCAATATTTATTGCCCGCTAATCCTGCCAGCTACGCAGGCTATTTTTGCAGCAACGTTTTAAACCCTTTGGTTTTTTACTATTTACTAACAATCGAAGGCTCCTGTGAGCCAGCTCATGGATGAATTGGATAAGTGTAGAAAAGAGAGTTCAATAATAGGAGTACATTGATTCGCCGGCGTACGTGACAAATTGTTAGCCTAGGCTGTAGAGTAACTTCTACCAGTGGACAAAAATAAGCAAGTTAGCCTTCTGAAACAAGAAACGATAACGTGACTAGTTTGATCTAACCAGAAATTTCAAAAATTCGTTTCTTATAAACTCATGCCATTTTTTTATAATAAGGGGGGTTCCTAATTGACAGTCTCTAAAGGCCTTTCAGGGATTCGCATCATCAGTCACTTGGGCGGCAAAGTTACTAAACTCATCGCCCAATGTAAGGAAATCTGCAATCCTTGGCTTTGGAATCTGGAATACAGCTCAAGGAATCCGGAACCCCACTTATTATTGGAATGCGGAATCCAAGTGCCACTGACAAAGAATCCAGAATCCAGAACCTGCTGGAATCCGGAATCCACTGTTTGGAACCCAGAATCCGAGACTGTCTTGGATTCCCTTACATGGGGCGAAAACTCAGCTCTCATGACATGATGTCTTGGTTAAAACCCCGTTCATTTTTATTCATTGTATCTTCAAGAAATCTCGACTGCAATTTAAAGTGAAAACCAAAATTGTCTTTCACCCTTGGCACTACCTGCAGAGTCTTTGAATATGTTCAATAAAGTTATGTGTTCTTTTGAAGATTTCGATAGAAAATTATTTCGTTCAACTCTGTGGTCAAATCACTGATTAGGTAAGAAGGGCCTTGGACGTTTTATACCAAAATTCACGGCGTACCGACTACGACAAATAGTGTATTTATGAACATGTCGTGATAACGCGATAGCCTGCTAGCAAGCTCTCCATTGAGCGAAGCAAGCCGCGAGAGAGGCCGCCCCTCGCACTCGTCTCTCCTTCAGCGCGCTGCTCTTGCGTGACTTTTCGCGACTGCCCCCAACCTCGTCCCCAGGGCTTTTCCCGTCCCTCCCATTTTGTAAGGCGATAAGCTCTGGGGACGAGCTGAGGTTACACTCGCCCAAATGCAGAGCTTGTTGGCATTCTAAAAAACTGAGTACTACAGTACCACTGTGGAGAAGCCATGGACACAATCTTTTATGTTCAACGGGCAATCATTGACTGTAATTGTTTAACTGATGGCACAGGGGACTCTTCCAGAGGTACGCCTAATTTTCCGAATTCCTCCATTCCCTTCGCACTAAAAGTCTTAAATCTTTTTCAGGGGGCTTGGTTAAAGGTGGGACACCTCAGGGGACAAAAAATTTGTTCCCGGAAAAATGTTTACAGAATCTTTGTATCTGTTACCTCTATTGAAAGGACATCGTCTATTTAGAGGAAAGGGGAACTTTTTCTGTGTCCCGAAACCCGGGTTTAACCTTCATTCAGGAGAAACCTTAGCTTTCAAAACGTGACTGATCACCAAATGGGGTTGAAACAATCACAGTGATGTCAACCTTTACTACATGAACTTTTTGACACAATCTAGCAATCGATGAAAGATATAACTTGGTTGCCCAAGTTTAAAATCCCAGATGCCTTTTGTCTTTCAGAGTGAAAAGGACAAGAGCAGACCTCATGTACCGGGCGAGCAGTGGTTTCTCCAGGCCGGACCCTGAGACAATTTGCGGCCTATGTCCATACGAAGACTTAATCAGTCTGACATCATGAAGCTTTAAGTCAACTGACTTCTTTGTATCCGAGAGAATCTTACCAATATAGGATAGAACTGTGAATGCTATAGCAGGTTGTTCCAGTTTCTGATATGTACCCAATGCTCTACTTTATGACTCCCAATCTACCCTGCACTTGTGGCCGGGGAATGCAACACACACAGTACCGCATTGAAAAGCTAATCATGATTTTGATACATTATCTAGTTCACTGCTTGAATTAATGACTGCATCAGATTCCGAGGTAGAATGAAAAACCTGGTTTCTTTATTGGTTGAGTATACACAAAGCCCAGCCCAACCTCTATGTAGGGGACACTTGCCTTGGTCGTAAAATCTTTGCCGCTATCTTGAGTATCAGGTGTTTCTGGGGG